CCACCCATCCCACCCCAGGGGAGGACATCCATCACACAGTAATCTCGTGCGTGGGAAATTAACGTCTCCTACCGCTAACCCTGCAGGAGACGGGACCTCCATTTATTCGTCCCTATCCGAGAAGACTAGAATATCTAACCATTTCTTGATGTTATAGAAAGGTAGCATATTCTTCTCAATTATTTTAAGACCTTGAGTGTTGGTCCGACCGGGGCTCAAACCCTCGACCTCTCGCACAACACTCCGGCGCTCTATCCATTGAGCTAACCGAGAGGTCTTACAACTGAATCAATTTGATCTGTGGAAACTCGTTGGAATTTAGCCTGGCAAACGAAATCTGAACGGATTTGCAATTCCAGTGTCCAACTTTCCATAAAAAATTACCTTTCCAATGAAAAAAAAAGAAAAAAAGAAAAAAAACGCAAAGAACTAATCGCACATCCATCGGACTTGACTCACCATATTTTTCAACTTTTGATTCCTGTTTGGGTGTACTGTGAAGTTTCCTGTTGGTTAACGCGCATGGTAGTAATGACTGAATCTAAGGAATTACTCTTTTAAATTTCAACGGTGTTCAGATGAAAACTAATAGGATGTTACAAGACCTTAAAAGATATGCCATATGTAACATCATATAGCATCCTTTTAACTCTTTAACGACTAAGACAGAACTTTTCCTTATATTATAAATACAATGGCAGGGAGACAAGTAATGAGGATAAAAGAAAATATCTATTAGGAAATTATTAGCAGACCCGATACCAAATTCTCCGAACAAACATCATGGGAACTGTATGACAGACAGTTTGGAGAATTGTTAAAGAGATCTTCGGAGTAAATGGGTTGGTAATTCTGAGGCTCTTTGGTGGATTCTTTGTTGTCCCTGCCGAGTGAAAAAAAAAAAAACCCACACACAAACGGTCCATAAGAAACAATACGACATAAAATGTTGAAAGTTTATTTGGAAAGAGAAAAATAAAGACGAGACACAATTAAAACTTAAAAGGCAGATTCAGATTGCATTTCACGTAACCGATAGATAAAGATTTGTGGTTTTCTTCCCAGTGAATAAATACTCATTACCGTAGCAAATCCTTAACTGAATTCATCAAGAGAGAAAAACAACCGCGCACAAGCATACGAGTTCTGTGGGATTTCTAACCGCACCTGATCATATATTCGTCAGTGTTCACAGATTATTGTGAAGTGCGAAAACACCACTTTTTACTGTTAGGTTTTATTGAAAAGGCTTCAACACTTTTAAGCCTCCTCAAAACAATTTTGATAAAAAAGAACAAAAACTTATCCTCTTAGTCAGTTAGAGTCACAGAGAAAATACAAAGATAAAAGTAACGTCAGCAGAATTTAAATAGATTAATAAAACAGTGCCGATTTCACATGGCCATCATATGCAATTAAGTCTCTCATTCATATTTATAAAGCAAGTCATCTGGATCTTTTCAGCACTTACTTATGCCATTTTATTTTAAGTTTATCCTTTTCAAGTGTAACTAATTCCTATAACACCTACAAATGGATGAATACCATGGTTTCAAATTATCGAATAAGCTATTCTTTTAAAAATAAGGAGAGTCTATTGTTATCTTGTTTCATTTTCTGTACACATTAGTTTTGTTCCTTCGTTTACGACGGCATCTGAAGTAACACTATTGAGCGCTGCAACATTCCTTTTTACACTGCAGTTTCGTAATCTTCAGCTGCTATGATTTGAAGGTGTTCTTGCGCTGAAATGAAACAAAAGAAAAGTCGAAATGATCTGCAATTAGTAATTAAGAAAATTTTGCTTAGAAACCACGTTGTCATTTTGAAGTAAAGGCAAGTAAATATTACTAACACACTGAAAGGAGCCAGGAGAAAGATACTTACTTTCAAGATATTTGGCGAGTTCCTTATCTTGAGCCTTCAAAGCTTGAATTCGGGGCGTATTACCCTTAATTAAGAAAGAATAACATCACTTTTAGTCAGGTTTTCAAGCAATCCGAGAGGCTAGTATACTTGACAACACGTAATGAAAGTAATTATGCGAAGTTTAAAGTTCTTACTACAAGGTCTTGTTTGCAAATCTATCTAATTATTTAACAATTTATATGATTTTCATACATTTATAGTCAGTTGTGGACTCTATAGGAACCTTATTTAAACTAATAACAAAAATGAAATAATAAAAGAGTGGGTAAGCTAGTCTGGTGACTTACATCATAATCTGTTCTCGTGAGGGAAGCGCCGGCTTGCACCAAGAGCGAGCAAATTGTCCGCCGTTCATAGAGGGCTGCTTTATGAAGGGCTGTCTGACCCCTGAGAAAGAAAAAACACAATTATTTATGTCTGAAAAGACCATGCGACCGTGCAAAAAAAGATAAAAGGATTTGTAGATCTTGAAATAGCTCCACTTACTTTTCTTCCTCGACAAGATCCAGAACGCAACGTGGAACTGAGGGAAATACCAAAATCATATTACTATTTTAACAAGAAGATGACAGCATGTACAAAAATAGCCTGTGAAGTACTCATTTTATGAAGACAAGAAGGCATGTTTACCCACTTAAACTGCGATCTCGTTGTCCTTGTAAAGTCAATTATTATCCTTGCGTTTTATTTTTTCTCATAGTGTTGTGAAATGTTTCGGTTGGTGTAATGATAATGGTTTTACAAGGCGTTCATCACGTTTTAAGTCAAAGGTTACTACTGAGTGGCCCACACCAAAAGCACCAAGCATTGTAAAAGATATAACTGATATCAGGTATGTTTACGTAATGTCTATGATCTTTGGTCCACTTACACGAACGTTCTTATTTAGGTTTCTAGTCCAATTTAGGTAGCACGTCAATAGTTATTTGTCTTAGTAATGATTACTTGCAACTCTCAGTAATTGTCGTAAGTTGCCACAATCTTGCGTTGCTGGGAATAACGATGGAGGATAACCACCTAGCCTACAGAAAGTTCCTCCCGTAAGTGTGGGTCGTTCGATCAGCACTCCCTCGGCGTTTACACACCTGTGACCATGTTTGTATGTCGATGTTAGAAAGGAGATACTTGTTTTAGGTATTGGTCGTTGTATTAACATACCATTGGAGATGATATATCTGACCACCTCCTTGTGTCCGTGACGGGCGGCGTAATGTAACGGCCTCCAGCCTCGGCGATCACCAGCTGACAGACTGACACCGTTACGGTGTAACTCAATAACCTTAACACCACAAAACATAAAATACAGAAAAAGGAGCGAAAAGCTCAGTGAATCTGTCGAAGAAATTATGTGCAGCAGTTAAAATAGCTCAAAGGGGCATGGTTGCTGAATGAGTGTTATCGGAGAGTCAAAAGACGTGCGCGTTAACATCGGTTTGCTTCACTTAGCTCAGTGATTCAATTATTCTTCAAAATTCGCGCAACCCCCTTGAAAAATCAAATGTAAAACTACCACCGAATAGCAACTTGATTACTCTGTTTTCGCACCGTGTTCGGAAAGTTTGTTTGAGCTCACACTGATTCCATATGATACGTTGTGATTTCCGTCGTAATTTCTTTAACTCCGGCTTCAAAAAAAAAAAAAAAACGCGCTCCAAGCCCAGCAGAAGCATTCTTCTTAATTGGCAGCTTACATATTACCTAGGTTTATCATCCAACTGTGCTTCGTAGAGTACAAATAACGCGCAAATCGAGTATAAATATCACGCGGTATTTGTACTCCAGAGAACCGGTTAGAAATTTGCCCGCACTGAAATAACAATTTGGCGTGTTGGATGATAAATCTCTAATTAAAAGTTTTGTTGTGTTGTATCGCTGAGTATTTTCACTAGTTGTTTGTATTTTGACGAGCCCGTAGGGCACAATTCGTAAAAATACTCAGCGATACTACCAACAAAACATTTTATAAGATATATTTATTGTGGGATGAGAACGTTGTTCGCCATGAAAAGATGATTTCTCCTTCACCTAGCAACTCAAAAGTGAGTCCAACCCACCTCGAAATTTTGCAAATAGTTGATCCAATTTAAGAAAACGCTGAAATACCTTGTCTAGATCTCCGTTTTTCGAAGCCTCAATCATGCCTTCAAAAAAACAAACAAATAAACAGACAAAGTTATTTCAGTTAAAAACTTAACATTACTTAAGGTTGTTGGAAGAGAAGTTCATGACTTTAAATGACGAAAGACTACATTGATGGATCAAACAAATGAAAAACAAACCACAGTGACAAGAAAGTAATGACGCTCAATACTTACTGTTTTCATTACGCTTCATGATCTCACTTTTCACCCTACAATGAACAGAAAAATTAGATCACCATTCGATAAAGTACTTTCACTCTACGAAAGGTAAGTAACTCTTGCAAGATGTGACAGGGAGAAAATGTACTCAAGGTATGCATGAATTAATAGCATAAGGTATAAAGACTAGCTCCTTTGTTACGGTTTATTCAAGATGACTACTCTTTTCAACTCACCAAATAGTGTCCATGTCATCTTCATTAGGGAACGGTAACTTGAATTCTTGATTACTAAAGATGGCAATAAAACACAACTGTGAATACGATTTACTCTGAAGCGTGACCGAAACGTTCTTGTATCTTTGTCTTATCATGTTAGTATATGTTGTGGGTCAAGGCTGATAGTTTCGAAAGAAACTGTTTGGGGCTGCGTCGGTGGGAGTAACGAAATAATTTGGATAAATCAACAAAGTTGAAGTGGTAAATTGGCCACCGTAACGATTACAAAAGCTGACGTTTCAAGCGTTTGCCCTTCGTCGGAGCGAATAGAAGAATTGTGGGTTGCGTGTGCTTTTAAAGGCAGAAAATGGAGCTACGTTATTGGTGGGAACATGGCAAAGAGAAAAACAAGAATAAATTAGTGGAATGAAAAGCGTTCGTTGATCCCTGTGGGATTTAGACTGCCGGTTTGAAAGATGAGCTTTTGTTCAAGATTTT